GGTACCTGTGACAGGTTCTTCCCTCCGCCCCTCGGCCGCCCCTCCCCCCCCCCCCCCCCCCGGTGCCGCCTGGAACTGGGGTACCACTGAGCATGCCTGACTCACCAGCCTGGGCTCCTTTTTCACCCATAAGGGTTTGACAAGCTGCAGACACACTCCCGGTCTCTCTTTCACCAGCACACAGGTAGGGACACATCCAGCTGCAGCTACACACTGCATGGGAAGTCTCAGCTAAGGCATCTCCCAGTTCCTAAGGTATGCACCCTCCCCCTTTGGAGGGTAAACCCAAAATGATACTGTCTTGTGCTGCACCGGGAACTGTACAGCATAAGCTTATAAAATTCCTCAATGTGGAGAGAGATGCAGCTTTCTGCCACAAGTTATAATTTCCACACACCAGTTTTAGGCAGACCAAAAACAAGTTTATTAACTACAAAAGATATCTTTTATGTGATTATAAGTGATAGCAAACAGATCAAAGCAAACTGAGCTTAACACACTAGATAGGTAGGATATGAATTACCAAATTCTCACCCTGAGTGATAAACAGGCTGGTAGATTCTTAAGGTACAAGCTGCCTTGGCTTTCCCAGGTTTTTATACACAAGCTAGCAAACCCGTAGCTGGGGACCATCACTTCCCCCCTGTTCAGTTTTTATTCCTCAGGTGTTTCCAGGTGTGGTGTTGTAGGAAGAGTAAGGTACCATCATGATATTATCACTCTTTTATATCGTCTCACTTGCTGGAAAGCTCTTTTGCTGTGACCTGGGTCAAACAGCACTACACTATGGGAACGATCTCTGAGAGGTTTCTATTGTACACAGTTCCTGGGGTAATCCTTGTGCTTGTGTGCATTTCCTCAATAAGCCATTAATATTGTTTGGCCTCTTTACTGTTGTATCCAAAAGGCCGCTTGAGGGTGTTTTCAACCTCACAACATATTTCAGTAACACATACATAACCAAACTTCAAAACTTTACATACAACAGTAGCACATACAATACAACAATAGCACATACAATCCAACGAGATATTAATGTCTAGCAGTCAAGACTTTTAGAATGATACCTCACAAGGCATATTTTGTACAAAACATATCCTAATTTACAGGACAGTGGTGAATATTGGGGTGCCAGGGTGTCAGCAGCAGAGACCAAAAAAAAAGCATGTACAGTACCGTTAAATGTAACTTCGAAAAAATAAAATAAAGGGAAAACATAAAAAAAAAAAAAAATAGGCAAGGTAAGGAAGCTGTTTCTGTGCTTGTTTCATTTAAATTCAGATGATTAAAAGTAGCATTTGTCTTCTGCGTAGTAAAGTTTCAAAGCTGTGTTAAGTCAATGTTCAGTTGTAAACTTTGAAAGAACCATGATGTTTTGTTCAGAGTTAAATATTTCAGAGTTATGAACAACCTCCATTCCCGAGGTATTTGTAACTGAGGTTCTACTGTATGGCATCAGCTGTGACTATGAGAAGCATCTTGTGGTTGCAGAATTCTGGCATAGTTCCTGATGTTCAGCAGTGCATCGAGGACTTACCTTTCAATGGTCACATTTTGTTTTTGGAGAGAACTGACTAACTTTACATTTTGTTTAAGGACTCCTGGGCCACTTTGTTTCTTGGGGGTTTAAACCCCGGCCACAAGGAGGCATAATTACGGAAGTCAGCAGCGACAGTATTGCTCACAGCCATTTTTCTGGCAGTCATCCTTCCCTGTTAAGCAGCAGGACTCCTCTAGGAAAGGTCATAGATTGTAGAGAGAGAAGCCTTCTGGGTCTAATTTTAGCTAGTGAGCCCAGCCCATTGTCCTCCGTCGAGTAAGCAGACATTTTGACTTTCAGATCCAGGGCAGCATTCCATTTGTGACTTCTGTGCCCCATCTCTTCAGTTTGGGGACAGGCTGTCTTGCTTTTATGGTGCTTGGGATACAGTAACCCCTGACAAATGCGTCCTAAGCACCTTCAGATTATGCCATTCAGTTCCTCTGCATCTCCCCTACGCTGTCCCTCCTCAAGAACCCCTCTTGCGAGCCACTGTTTCTTCAGCTGGTCTAAATTCTGTGTGCTTAGCGAGAGGTATAAAGAAGGTCCCGTTGAATCACTGGGGAAAGGGATTCTATTCCCGATATTTCTTGGTCCCCAAACCCAAAGGAGGGATGAGGCCAATTCTCGATCTCCACAGTCTTAACAAATACATCAGATATGTGGGATT